CCTAAAAGGCCAAATAATGCGTGTTGGCGAATTTAATGGGCTCGACCAAGGAGATTTATGCCCAATTAGCTAACTATTACCATAACATGGGGACAACTAATCCTGACTCAACATTTTTTATTGAGACGGAGGGCGAGAATTGCTTTAATTTTTTTTTATAGCTCTTGGACAGTACATTCGAAGATTTCAAAATGTGATGCGACCCCTAATTCTAGTCGATAGTACAATTCTAAAAGTTAGACACGAAAGCAAGTTGATTATTGCTACATGTCAAGATACCAACATCCAAATTTACCCTTTCGTATTTAGCATAGTCAATAGCGAGAATGATCTGTCTATGTGTTGGTTCTTCACAAAGTTAAGGGAAGTGATTGGGGAAGTCAAAGATATTTCATTTGTAACTGATCGGGGACTATAATAAGCTTTCCTGATGCACATCCTGGGTATGGTAGGCAACCTGAAAACTAGATATCAGTTAGGACTTCAAGCTGGCATATTGACATTTCAACAAGTTAATGATTATGTGTTGAGCATTGCAAATGTATAACACACCTGAAGGTCGTGGAGGAGAGCTAATAATGTTTGCCAGATGGACAACTGTCTGCTCGGGATACTCGTTAATGATACATCAGAGGGTAGCATGCCTCTCTCTTCACAAACTTGGTACCCAGAGGTAGATAATTTTGTATGCCCGGATCTGCAACACATGCAATTATTATATATAAATTTATAAAAATATTTTAATGTTGATTGCGTTAAATATCTACCTATACTGTCAAGGACAATCCATAAGTATCATATTTACGCAAGGGCCCATTGGGCTTCTAATGTGATATCTTGAATATGTGTGCAGTGTTCTGAAAAACATCTCCATTCCCATGGATAGTTGTTGAAAGCATCGATGTGGTCAACAACTTCCAAATGAAAAATATCAATCACGGTCTTTTTTGTAAGACACGTCACCACGCTCTCAAAGATATAGACCAATTTCAGTTTCAATTTGTCCAACATGTGGTCGCACTCCCTGATTGGGCCAATCAACTGCAGCAGAAGCACCGTACACTGTCCCCAAAAATTTGCGTCGTACAGCCTATTACTTCTTTGAATATCGTCGGTTACTGCTTTATCGCCCGTAATATTCAGTTCAGTCATGAAGGTAAACTCAAATATAAAGAAACTAGCAACCTTGCCCCTAATGTCAAAGTAGAGGGCATCATCGTCAATAGGTCTAAGCAGCCGACGTGGTAATGTATCAATGATCTATCTGGAGTATTGCACCTCTCTCAACTGATACAGGGCCCAAATGAAGGACTGAACTAACATATATCATTGTCGATCATCGAGCAAATCTAATACATTAGTAAAACTGTCAAAGCTATTATTCCAACTACATTTTCATGCCATCCGTCTCAACTCGGTATCGAGATAGTATTTCATCCTACAAAAATTCGAATGTTAGAACCTTCTACAAGATATAATGAAATAAAGCAAATCTCAAAAAATTAAGCGAATTGAATTATAACTATTTTACGCAACAAATAGATTTATTTTACATCGACGCTAATAAAAAAAGAAATGATCTAATAAATTAAAGAAGAAAATAAAAAATAAGAATTATAAACAAAAAGAAAAAAGAAAAAAATTAAAGAAAAATATAAAAACTAAAGAAAGAATATAAAAATATTTTAAATTGAAAAAAAAATATGACAAACAGAAAATAATTAAGAAAAATATAATAATAAATTAAATTAAATTAAAGAAACTTATAAAAATATAAAAATTAAAGTAAGAATATTAAAAAATATTTTAAATTGAGAAAAAATTAAGGGCTTGTTTGGGAAGAATTAAAATCCAATTAAAATTGAAAATATAGCCGTTATTGGGTCTCACTCGTCTAATAAAAGTCAACTCCAACATTTATATTTTCAATTTTAATTTGATTTTAATTCATTTCAAACAAGCTCTAAATTACAATTAGAAGAAAACAATTAAGAAATATTAAAATTATTAACAAAAAATTAAATAAAAGGAAATTATAAAAGTTAAATAAATAATATAAATATTATTTAATTAAAATTGAGAAAATTAAATTTTATCATTAAAAATAATGAATCAAAAATAATTTTAAATTGAAAAAAAATATTTATAATATGAAGAAAACAATTAAGAAATTTAAAAACTATTACTATAAAAATAATAATAAAAACAAAAGAAAATTATAAAAATTAAATAAAGAATATAAATATTATTTAATTAAAGTTGAAAAAAAATTAAATTTTATCAATAAAAGTAAAGAATCAAAAATAATTTTAAATTGAAAAAAAAATTAATATGAAGAAAACGATTAAGAAATTTTAAAACTATTACCACGAAAATAATAATAATAACAAAAAAATAAACAAAAGAAAATTATCAATATTAAATAAAAAATATAAATATTATTTAAAATGGAAAAAAATAAGTTATCGTAAAGAGAAAAAAATTAATAAAAAGTGAAAAATGAAGAAAACAATAAAAATCGACCAAAAAAGGGTTTGAGCCGATTGTTTAATAGTTAGATGGGCAGACTGTTACAGTTGGGCCAAGTTAGCAGTCAGGCTAGTGTTAATGGTCGTCTTCTCCGATTTTCATCGAAATCGCTATTTTTGGCAAGAAATGGCGATCTCCACCCCCAAACAACACCTAAATTTAGTTTACACTCAGAGCCCGTTCGGTAGGGATTAAAATTGAAAAAATAGTCGTTATTGTTGACTTTTATTAGACGAGTGGGACCCAATAACGGTCATATTTTCAATTTTAATTGGATTTTAATCCCTACCGAACGGAACCTCAATCATCTGCCTAAATTATTAATAATAGACTAAATAAATGTTAAATTTAATATTTACCATATATAAAAAACCAATCACATAATCCACAGAAAATTAACCTTGTTGAAGATAATGTCGTCGATTACTGGATTGTATGGTGGTCAGCGTTTGGTCAATTGTGAAGGTGGTGTGGTCGACTAGATCCCAATTGTGTGAGAATTTTTTTCTTTTTCCTCTCCACTGTTTGCACTTTGCACAAGATGAAGAGTATTTTTGGCTTTTGGTCTTTAACTTTTATCCTTTTTTTTTTAATGGTCAAAGGCCATAATGAAAATATGGACAGGTCCACCGTCCATTTTCATGTATTTCCTCCAATTCTCCGAGACCTAGTTGGTCTCTTTCCTATAATGGGTCGATTATTGGCTGGAAATTTAAGGTTAGAGCTTCCTATCATCGAAAATCGCCAGCTTCGCCCAAAAGCCCTTGTTTTGACGTCGAAAGTTTCTACTTCATGTCTGTTGTGAACCCCGAAATCATGTAGGTTGTGATGATGTCCCCTAGGATTCAAATCGAAGAAAGTATGGCATTCACGTTTGTTCCTTCATGCTCTAGGATTGTTATCTGGTTGGCATCACACTGCATTTTTGTTGACAATGGATAGGTGGTGTCGTCGCAGATTTGGGTCAATAATGGGTCATCCTCTGAGGCTCTGATTTTTGCGACTTTCCCTTAAACTGGTTGGAAGAAGTTGATGATTTCGAGGGTTCTGCGTTTGGTCTTCTTCCTTGGTGTTTGATGTTTTCGAACCTCCATTCCCTGTTGAGGGCTCGGTCTCCATTCCCTGTTTAAGAGCAATGCTACATTGCCCAAGTTGGATGACAAAAGGGGGAGTGCCCAAGTGAGGTGGCACTCCCCCATTGGAAGGGTCGGCTGGAGGCTACTTGGGCAAAGTAGCATTACACCATCTTTAATCATGTGTCATGTAAAAACATTGATCTTATAACAATTTTGGTGCAGAAACAAATTTGAAATTCTTGAAATAAAAATAAATTCGAAATACTTGGCAGTGAATAGTTTGATTACAATAAAATGGTTGATTGAAAAATATACAAGACCTTTTTATATAAACAGACTAATTCTCAATATTGCATCATCTAGAAATACTCACCCATTAGGTATGGACAGTCATTTTTGCGAAGTTTCCCATGGGCTCATCATTTGATGCAAAAACTGATGCGAGAATTAAATCAAAAGGAAACAAAGATATTATTATAATAATAACTAACTTCTATCATATTTAGAGCCTGTTTGTTTCCGATTAAAATTCAATTAAAATTGAAAATATGACCGTTATTGGATCTCATTCGTCTAATAAAAATCAACAATAACGGCTAATTTTTCAATTTTAATCCTATTTTAATCTCTACCGAACACGCCCTTATAATAGAGTTGTCATACGTTGCATTTGGACACCCATCTTGCCTATAATTGGAGAGAGGGGCTTGTCAAGTTCTATTTTCAATAATAAAAACTATAAAATAATTTCTATAAATAGTAGTGTATCCCAAATTAAAGTTATGGTGGACATACTATTATGCCAATGTGCAGAAGCATAATTTTATACCGAGTATACGACCACGTTACAGGCATTACTTTTAACATTATCCGCTTGGTTAGAAGTCATTGATATGCAAAGAACAAAGTAAATTTTATTCTCAAACTCATCGACTTTATAAATTATTTATTGTGGATCAGTTAAGTATAAACATACAAGTAGAAAAGCTTTTGAGCACGCTGTACATTTTCATCCTTCCCAAGACTCATTCTGCCAGCTTGTTTGCTCATTGTACATGTTTTCTTACACATCTTCAATTGATTTAAGCACTGACTTTGATCTAAATTTTGACAGTAAAAGGAAAAAGATTTCAGTGCTTCATTAAGCGCGTTAAGCTACAAATCAGGAACAAGTGGCGCCTCAAAATATCTCCAGCCTCAAAACAACAAACGCAAAGTTATCGTAGTCCACAAACTATTATTTGTCCAAGAAACGCCCAACAATCAACACGATAACAAACAGTTACAGTAACGACAGTTCTATCGACCTTGTTCCTATATTAGACAACTAAAATCTGGTATGTACACTACTAAGAGAACTCTGGACTTATTCATGTACACTACTTCTATCGTTACCAGTGTGTCCAGCAAACCTGCTTGCGCTGAAGCTCGGAGGAACCTGTGCTTGCACTTCAGCCAGTTCTCTTACTCGTAACAGAATTGGAGCAGGGATTGGAATTGAAGTATGTTTACGAGAATTCTGCATCTGTAATCAAAATGATAAAACTCCACTGAATGGAAAAATAAAATAAGGATGTTCTAAAGAAGCGAAATGAAGAATTTGAGGCATGGTCGCAGGACATTATTCAGCAAAGCAAGGAACCATAAATCTGAAATGATACAATACATAAAAACTAAAATGAGAACCTTTTGCATCTTATGGATGATAAAGAGTTCAAGAAATTATGTCTTTAGAAATTTATAATTCTGGTGTTGCAGTGAAGAACGTGAAAGTAAATGGCAAATCCCCTGCCCTCACTTTTCTTTCCCCACAACAACAACAATAATAATAATATTCTTCCTCTCCCTCCTGAAAAGTATGTTTTGTAGTGCTTTTGAGTGATTATAATATGTGGGTCTTAATAAATGTGTGGATAATAAGTGGACGGTAAGTTGTGGGTCATATGGGACGTGTGGATAAAAAAAAAAATATTTGAACAGCTTAAATTATAATTTAAATTTTGCCAAACATGTACTTAAGCTTCAAAAATAGATATCTGCAGTTCACAGGAACTCCGAACGTCAAAGAAGAAAGTGGCAAACATGACAAGTACAACAACTTCAAGGGAACATAATCAGAAATCAACAATATTAGCACCGTCAAAAATCCGAAATGGACCGTCACTACCAAGATCAGTCCAGTCAATCAGGCTAAATACGCAGGAAATATGTCAACCAGACTTGAAAAGCAAATTAATACTAAATAAAAAATTAACTCCTCCAAACATCTTCATCACTTCATGCAATGATGATCAATGTCTATTCCATGATTTACAAATTACGTGGTGAGACATGACAAAGTCAATTCATAAAAGAGTTCCTTGGTGACTAAACTTCAAACCACCCTCCAAATATTAAGAAAAGAGTATATGTTGTTCATGTATTTAGCAGCATAATCATACTTTAAATTAGCAGATATATTTTATTCCCAATCAACTTTAAGTCAAGCATTTTATGTGTGGAAGGGTTGGATGTGTGTGTTTGTGTGCGTGTGTGTGCTGAGAGCCTAAGGTGACCATAAAAGGAACAATTTGCTCACCCCCTTTTCAGCTGGCAACTGTGCAAAACTAGCTCTCAGCAGATTCCTCCACTTGTCCTGCAAAAAAATAATAATATGTTAGCTAATATTAAGAAAATTACATAGTTCAATCGTCTACCTAAACTTTCAGTGGAGACTAAGCCTGAGTTGACTAGATAATTATAAAATACTTTATCCTACCTTGAGGTCAACAGAAGTTCGATAAGAATACGATGCAAAGGCAAGGCGTTTAATCTCAGACCATCTACCAGCACCATATTTGGCAACCCCTTCAACCAGCTTAACAACCTCACTTAGAGTCCAAGGTCGATGATGTTTCCTCCTCATTCTTCCATTTGCTGCAGGCATAGTCACCGAGTCTTCATCTGAATTCTCATTCGAATCCAAGTTTTTAAGCTCCTCAAGCTCAACTTTCCTTTCGGTGTACAGCTTATCGGATGAAGTAACAGGCTACGCACATAAAGTTTCCATCAGCAATGGAGAAAGTGTCATCGTTACTTATGAACTAATTGTCATTAAAAACTTGAAATGAAGATGCTGCAAGATATCCTCGACGGAGATGCTCATAAATTTTATGATAATTCAACATACAACTCATTGTATCGTGTGGTTCTTAGTTTAGAAACCTAGGCGCTATTGAAGATGTGTTAACTAGTATCAGGTATAACTACTACCTTCAATATCTGTCAAAATGCTTAGTATTATCTAGATTTTCTAGACCAACCCCGGGCAGTTGAGACAAGGCTCATTTGAGTTGCAATCTCAGATAAGGTTCAACTAGATTCAGTTATTCTTTCTTCTGCAGACAGGAAATAGCTTCATGTTTCAACAGATATAAACGGAGAGTTAAACTGAAGCAGAAGCAGCATTTGTAACGAATTTGTGCCCTTGGCTGATAAGTGGAAGAACTCACTCAACTTGCTCCATCCACAACGGGAATAGATGCAAATATAAAGAGAGGTAAGCTACCAAAACTAATTATAACCAAGCAGCAAAAGTGGTTCCACATATAGTATCAAATGGCTATATGAACTAGGTGTGTTTGTTCTTTGTTCAAATGAGTGCAGTTCAAAGTATTTAAATAGACCACAGAAAATGATCATAAATATTCCAGATTGCCAAATCCAAACATGTACAACCAAGAAGGTATTTTTCACGTTACCATGAGAGTCATAAAGTTTTCCCTTGGACGGCTCCGCCGAACCCGTGAAACATATGGAACCTGAACTCCAGAACCTCCAAGCGAGTCTCGTCTTATGAGCCATCTTCCATCTAATCCAACTTTTTGAACAGGCGTTACATGGATGTCTGTGGATGGCTGACTATACGCACGATGTCCAACTGAGGAGATTAACTTTGCACAAGAATCCCTTGATTCTCCTTCTGAAAGTTCTTCAATATATCGTTTGGTAGGCTTTCGGACTCTTTTTGTAGCTCTTTGTTCTGTGTTAGTATCTTCACTTCCATAATTATCCACCGTTGGATAACCCTGCAATTCCATGCCAGTAGCATTTGAGTGGCTTTCCTTTTGGTTGTCATGGAATGTTGGTGAACTTTCATGGTTCACGCTCATAGATCCAACTTCAGGGTCCAACAAAATATTATGTTCCACACTATTATAGATTTCTTCTTTATCTTTCTTTACCACTCCGTTGTCTTTGATGACCAAAGTTGTGGTTGAGAAATCACAGGAATTGGTCAATCCCATTAATATCCTCCTCTTGAGCCATTGCTTGTCCTTGACAGAAGTTTCTCTTCCAAAAGTTGCTTTGAAAGTCTCCTGAAGTTCTTTTACCGTAAGATTATCCAGGTGTATCTCACCTTTCAACACAGAAAAATCAGGCTTTGAACTAGTACCAATGGCAGAAGTGGCGGTTTCATTCTCGACCAATCCATTGGAAGGTTTTGGGGATCCCTCAAGTTGGAAAATACCGACATATTCTGCAGTTGGAGTCAACAGAGAAACGCTTTGCTGCACAGTACATTCAAAGCAGATCTTCTCATCAGTGGAAAAGGTGGAGTCAACATCTTCAACAAGATACAGGATCTCTTATATGAAGCTCTTACATGAAGCGAAGTTTTAACAGGAGAAGAGAGGATGAAAAGAACTAAATTTTAGTATTTTAAAACGTCCCATAAAAGACCAAATAGAGTACCTTAGGTTGAACATTTACTTTCTCAAAATCAGCTACAGGGATAGGTGACGCATTCGGCGCTTCAGCATCAAGTTTTACATTATCACGTGGTAAACCTGTTATACAAATAAGTCTAAGAAACGCAGAAAGCCGCAATAAATGATATACAGTATAGTGTTGGGAGGAAGAGAAATGAACCAAATTACCAAGAGATCCAAAACCAAATTATCATACGAAGCAGGATTTTTGTTCTTTGGGAACATAGAAAGCATGGAAAGATGAAAATTCTCAAAGGATACAAATCTGAAAACCAAGGAAAAAATAAAGCAAAAGGAAGCCAGGACATTTCACACAGTGACAAGGTAGCGGGGTAAATATAAGACCTTGTTTGATCCCCATTTTACTCAAAATACATTTTTTCTCTTCTTTTCAACCACACATTCTTCAATAAAATAATATTACACACAACCCAAAAACTTTACCTTCATTTTTAACACAAATTCTCCAGCAACCTACTATTCCAAATAAATTTTACGTAAAAAATGGGGCTCACATAGGCCCTAAGTGTATGACTCCATCTAGAATGAATTGCAGCAAATGACCTGCTGAGTTCTTAAAGTGATTACAATCAAAGAAAATGCATCACTTGTGCTATAATCATCACGATTTCAAAGTTCCATGGTAAAACACATGAACATAAACATAAACATAAACAAAAGTATAAAAAAAATTCTAGTGGTGACCTGATGATGCTTGGAATTGAAGTCCATCCAGATCATGTTTGAAATTTGTATTGCATTCCACAGTTTGTACAGAGTCTGAAACAAATCCATTTTCGCTCTTGTCATCTTCGAGCAAGTCCTCTACTGCCATAACCTCATCCTCAGTCGCAGGCACTAATCTCCCATTTCGATCAACCTAGTAGATTATAATCATGTCTAATATTTACTTAAAAGACAATAAACAGTCAAATTCCCATCACCAAAATAGCACCAAAGAAGACACATCATATTACCTGACACTGTCCATGACAACTTACCTGATTGTGCTCATAGGGATTTCTAACTTAAAGGGCTCTATTTACATCTACTAAAATAGATCAACTCAACTATTAAATTAAGCCCCGTTTTTCTCCCATTCTTTCAAAACTCTTTTTCTACGTACTCATTTTCAACCACACATTCACCCAATAAAATATTCTACACGTAAACCCAAAACTTTTCACTAATTTTAACCATATATTCTCCAATTTTTTTTCCAAAAAAATGGCCATCAAACTGGGGCTAAGTTCATTCTACACTTTAATAGTATGAGATTATCAAATACAGACAGTACAATTTGATTGTATTTATTTTTTTTCACAACCACTATGATAGTCCAAATACTTTAAATCTTCTTTCTCATAGATAATAAACAAAAATAGAAGATGAAGAGTTGATCCACACGAGAGCAAAGTTAGCAACCAAAATAAAACCAACAACTCAACCTTCCACATTACAATCAATCCCTCATCCTTGACAAAAGCAAAGTCCTGGAGAAGAAACAAGAAATGAAAAGCATGTACAACCATTAACATATGCATTCCAGATGATAATTAATATCTATATTTTATTATTAGGATATTTTGATAAATATTAGTCTTTCTCAAAAAATAATCAATACCATCACTGGTCATCACCTACCAATTTTGGAAGCCACCTCATGTACGAATGTATTTATGGAGATACTCATGAGTAAATAGAATTTCTTCATTTTCATATAAAGAAGAGTCAGGCACTCCTACCAAGTGCGAATGTCCACAAGCAACTAGTAGTTCACTCAGCAAAAAAATTCAAAGATAATTTAACAAGTCTAACAACTTAGAAGCATGTTCAACAACTACCACACAAATAAAAAGTCAGACATCAAAAGGATTCTTAAGAAATAGCTGAAACCTTACAACATAAAATTAAATTACTACATTAACATTCATTGAGAGAAGCATAATTCAATTCACCACTAAAAAGCATCAAGATATCTTACAAAAAACATGTGGATTATAAATGTCAATTATAATCTGAATTTAAGCATAGTGGTATACCCGAACAAGCTGGTATACAACAGGATCAGCAATCTTTTGCAGGGAGGTTAGCGTGGGCTTATTTCTTGCAGCAACACTATCTTCAACTTTAGCTTCCGCATTCCCCACAATATCAACTACTGTTTCCATTGAAAAATCCAGCACATGCAACTCATGAACACTAACTGAAAACCAAAAACAGAAAAAACAAGCCACATATTTGTCTCCAACATCGTCAATTTTTACCTTCCAAAATCCGACACGAAATTTCATTCAAAACATGCATTAAAATTTTTCGAAATAAATAAAATTAATCACTTCCAATCATGACTGATTACCAAAATACAATTAAAACAGTAATTTACCTCATCACAGAAGGTTTCAAAAACCTTGATTTCAAGAATCGAGCAACTGAAACCGTGGATTGGAATATTCCGGCGCCGGGGTGAAATCAAGAATTTGAAAATGTGGAAAAGACAAAATTTGGAAAATTTAATTGATTGACAGATGAGATTAGAAAATTAAGGAAATTTAAAATTTTGCATTTGGTGATTCTGTGTTTTTTTTTTTTTTGAGTTCAGTCAGTACGTGTTTTTTGTTGGCTTTACCAGCACACTTTAATGTGTTCTTAGTCACGGATTCCAAATCTCGAATCAATTTCATTTGAGAGAGACGCAGAATCCGGATATGCCCGTGGTTGCTTTGCTTTCTCAGTGCATACGGGTAATGGGTATCAAGTTCAATGGCCTAAAATGACCAAAACGTCCCCGTAGAAAAGCAAGGTTCCTCTTATGACCTTTATGGCTTAAGCTGATAAACATTTGGTACTTTGGCTCGTTTGACTGCCGTTATTTCAAAAGATTGTTCTATGTGTACATCTTGTAGTGTACACATTCTTTTACATCCCTCACATGGAGGGAGACCCATAAATATTTTATTATGTGTGGGTCTCCCTTCATGTGAGAGGGGTGTAAAAAATTGTGTACACCATTGTGTACACATAGCACTATCCTATTTCAAAACTCTTTATTTCATATACTTGTTTTTAATCATACGTTCACATAACAAAATATTTTAAATATATATTCAAAATTTTTACATATTTTTTAACTACACATGCTCCAAAAATTCGCCATTCAAAATATTTTTTTACCAAATAATGACCATCAAACCAGGACTTTATTATCAATAATAGTATACAAAATGTTTTATTCAACAATACAAAATACATCTTAAAATGCATAAATCGCGACATGTATAGCTATAGATATTGGACGTGTTACCAGTAGATATGATTAGTAGTCTAAATTCGTTCTTCTGCAAGAATAGGATGTGAAATACGAATTGTGTTAATAACTTGTCATCAGTCGGTATCCCGCTTCTCTTGGAGGAAGAATGGAGTAATTTCTTATATAAAAGTGGAAACCGAAGAATAGAAAGTTCCCTTGTTAGCGCAATTGCAATATCAATATATAACACAGTTACAAGACTTCCTTTCTTGACTTTACATTATTTGCTTCCTCTCTTCCTCTTTATTTCGAATGTCCATCCAATCCCTGATTCCAGTCCATACCTTCTTTGAATATAGCTGATGATGCTGTTCTATAGTTAGGATCTTATTTAGCCAGGTGCACTTAATTGCATCAAAGAAAGGAGCAAGCTTGAAAGTCGCACTTGCTCCTTTCTTTTCGACTTGGCAATTTTAATCTTGTCGAAATATATTCTTTTTCACTTATTTGATTGGTGTATTCAATTGCTCCTTTCGTTTCGAGTCTAATGCTACATACTAAACATGCTTCAATCCTTTCCCGATATATCGAATAAATTCATTAACATACTTCTTTTTTTAAAAAAAAAAAGAAAAGAAAAGAACTCGCGTTAAGAAAATCATTGCAAACCTTAAACATAGTATTGGGGCATTGAATTGGTGGACCATTTTCTTCCCATTTGGAGCTGAAGAAATCAACATACCATACCAACACGAACCTTGCTACACTTACACACCTTGGTACACAATCTGCTACACAACTCTCTCACATGTGTGTGGGGTCACCCACACACATGTGAGAGGATTGTGTAAGAGATTGTGTACCAAGTATGTAAAAGTAACATTTTTGATACCAACATTAACAAAAAAAAAAACCCTGCCCTCAGGTTAAGTATCAGCATCAAAGAAAATCCCTAGCAAAAATCCCCGTCACAACATATTATTATACATTATGATTCTCCATATTGGAATCAGATTGTTACAAATTGACAGAACACGATCACTAGGATATGATTAAGAACTTTACGTAGATTTTATCGATCATAAAGGTCGTGAGCAAAACAACAAAACTAGAACAAAATTGGATAGGCAACAACATCATTTTTACATTGTATATCTACATAAGTCGTATTTCAGCTGCTGACAATATTTACGCGACTGGAATTTCTACATCGGTTGAAGCTAGTGCTGGAGGGATGTATACCTCATCCTCCTTGGGTGGATGGATCGTAACAAGGTCAGGTAAGGGTTTAACTGGACCCTGCTTGCCTTTTGGGTCCCATTCTAGCATGATCTTCACTTTGATACCAAGAACTCCCTGCACTGTGTATGTTACCAATCAAATTGAAGGTTCGGGTGTTGATAAAAGAGAAACCAGCTTCAAAGATATGACAACAAATGATGAGAAATTTCATCTAAACTTGCCTGTCTAAGAAGAACATGCCTCACAGCAGAGTCAATGTACTCTTTCACAGGCTGGCCTGAGGATATCATGTAGCCATCCTTGAACTTCATTGATTTAGCACGTTGAGCTCTAAGCTTTCCACTAACAATAACCTGAAATTAATAAATATTGATTGTAAACAAGGTTGACAAAGACTAAACCCTGAGTGAACAGAATGCAAAACAACAATTCCATACCTCACACCCCTTTGCTCCGTTCTCCATAACAAATCGTAAAACGCCATAGCAGGCCCTGAAGAGGAAAAGAGAATTAGTAAATCAAAAATGTAAATTTTGATTGCAAATCATCTGACCAGTTTTCTCTACTCGTAATACTTATTTGCAGCGCAAATACATTTCATTCTTAGCCTTTTCCCCACAGATTTTTAGTATTTCACTTTTCGTGGGTTTTGTTCTTTTTCCCCATTTTCAAATAGATCAGATGGTTTCCATTTCTGATCGGAACTGTAAGAAGAGCATAAAATATGGAGATCCTTGCAGTTAAATCAGGATTCTCTACATGACATGTTAAAACATGATTCAAATAATACAATAGTTTTCAATAAGCTTTAAGATGTAAAACTCTGTAGGAGAATATTCCAAACTTCATTAACACAAGTAGTTCCTGACAAACTTCAAATATTCAATAAAACTCTCGTAGTCTATTTTTTCAATTTTTAAAATGGTTGAACCACCAAGGGTAACGATCTGAACTATCTATGAGTACAGGATGGTGGAAACTTTCAATTGACTTGGATAAACTTGATTTTCTGGAGCAGAACACATTACACATTTTAGTGTCTGATCACTCTCCCTTGTGGAGCACATCAATAGCCAAAGCAAATAATCAGGCTCTTTTTTAAGAGTGACAACAGAGCCTATAAGGCGTAGTTTGCATTTTGGTCCAATTCAATAATTTTTACCAATCTAAAAAAGGTAACAGATACCTACTCTTACGAGAATCAGAAACTAATGGTTCATCTTGAAGTCAACTTTTTGAAGAATCGAAAAAGAAGAAATCACACTACAACAGGTCATTTAATTTAAGACGTTAATAGATTCACTACAAAAATTTATCTTGATTTTATCTTAATGATTGAGTGAAAATCAGAATTTGATTTTTAAAACCTTGTTGCAATATGATTTTCCTTTTGAAGAACGAATTTGATTTTCTAAAACAACGTGCAATTCTGGATGCTTTGTAAATTGAAATGCTAAACTAGAGAGAGATTAAGGTTTCCACGCACAAAAATGTGTGGATAAAGGTGTAGCTGTGTCTTCGGGTTTGGATGTTAAAAGGGCAGTGAGGTCAAATAAAAATATAAAGGGTAAACCTCGAGGCTTTACTCTCTTATTCTAAACTTGCATAAATATCATCCTTCTGTTTTAAATACAGGGTTCCTAGATAATTTTGTTGACATGGTTTCATAAGTCGGCATATTCAGACCCAAACCCAATAAAGGCCAATTCTATACCAGCAAAATAGTATGTTCATGTCACATTATCATCTCAGATGCAGCATGTCTAGATTTCACAGTTTTTATGATGCACAATGTAGCCCCTGTTTGATGGCCATTATAGAGAAAAATGATGTTTTGAATAGTGATTTTTTAAAAAAAGTTGTGGTTTACGTGCAAAATATTTATTGTTTGTGGTTGAAAATGAGTATGAGAATTAAATAGTTTTGTTTTAAGTGGAGACAAACAAGGGCGTAGTAAGGGAAGAAGAAAGGAGACAACTTTCAAATAATTTGCTTGGAATATTTTCTGCAACTCCAAATTTTCCAACTGTAGCAATACTAATTGACAGGAGGAAAGATTTAGCCAATTTCGTTGTGTAATATATAAAACATATGTTAGTACACATGATTGCCAATAGAATCAGAGAAGCCAACCAGCATAAGAGTTAATAACATTCAAAGGAAAAATGAGAATGTATAGGGACTATGTAGGAGCAATTTGAAAACCCCATTACATCGGAGCAAGTAAAGGGGCCAACCTCACTCCACAAATTGATGTGAGCATTGATTAAAGTTCCCTTCAATACAAAATTCTTAAAAAGGAAAATAAGAAATTTAATCAATGCTGCTTCATGTTATGAGTTGTACTTTACAGGAATAACTTTTGGGGAACAGTCTGTATCTTGCAAAATAACAAAATAAAAGGCCAACATGCGGATTGAGAGTTTTAAGACAAATCAAAGAAATTAGCATTTGCACGTCCACACATATATGAGCTATCACACGAATTACACTTGGAGCAAAACAAATAAAATCGAATTCGAAATAAACATACATAATGTTACTAAACAAAAAGAAGGCTGAACACAAAGTGAAAGTAGAAACCTGCGAACAGCAAGCCCTCCAAGAAGCTTATAGCGCAGCGACTCAGCCTGGGCAATAGCACATAAGCCCCTGTTATTAACTCTTTCAGCATAGAGC